CAGAGCAAAGATGCTGACAGGACAAAAACCTGTCGCCATCCATCCCAGTTTGCCAAGTTTTGCCTTAATAAAGGAGCTTATTGTCCTCTCCCAGAGAGAAGAGGTCTTTACCCAAGAAATATTGCAACAACAGCTGGTGTGCCTGTATGCTCGCAGACCCTCGGTACTGCGAATGAATGGGGAGGATTCGGGAGCTTTTGACGGACACCTTTTAATGTCGATAATTTAAAGCTTGTAATTGAAACTGAAGCGGAAACAAATTTAAAGTCATTCGTTCAATGTCAGCCTAATATTCATGCTCATGTTTTCCATTCTGACTAATCCGTGTCCTCCGAGGCAGAGGCTATCTTCTCTCCATTAGCACCGCTGTTATTGTTTCTGCCAATCTCTTCCCAGTAAGATCGACGGCGCTACACGGAAACCGAATAAAGAAGTTTAGATCACCAGTGTCGGCGAGCCGGCACTCGCTGAAGCAGTGTGCATCAATCACCTCGGCATAGTGGGGCGAATGTGATTTAAGTGTGAGCTCCTGTTTTGTCTCACTGAGTTTTATATCTCATTCACGTTACTGTTTCTTCCCAGCCACACTGTATTGTCTGACTGAATATCTTTATCTCTGCCATGTGACTCGTTAGAAAGACACATAAGCCCATTTGGACTGCAGAGCCTGGCTGCGCCTCTCGGGGTCCCCAGGGCTGCATCGCGGCTCCAGCAGGGCCCAGAACCCGGGTGCGGCTGAACCCCTGGGCTAGCCTCTGGTCCAACACGTTTCTTCTCTGATCAACACCTCTCATCTATGGTCCCCGCTCTCTTTTCACAACCAGGCAGAATAAGGTCAGGTTGTTCATCCTGACAATGAGAGAAAAGCCTAATTGACTCTCCCGCTCCTCTTCCTCATCCTTGCAGCTTGTCGACAATGAGCCTCAAGGCTCTTTTTTTGAGCCTGAAACCATCCTTCTGTCAAGAGACCTTATTCTCCTTTGGTCAGAGCTTACGGGCCAGGGATTCTTCTAGGCAGGTAAAACTGGGCTGACAGTTGGAGGGAAAGCAGCTTTGATCTCCACCGTCTCCACGTTGCAGAACCACAAGGTGACAGGCAGGGGAGTCTTATCGGCACTTTATTCCACCAAAGGTGCTGGAGAGAAAACACTCAGGCTCGTAAAAATGCCTGTGAATCTTGGCTTTCACATTCACTGAAGCCCGAACAATACCCAAGCTGGCCCCTTGCGAGTCCCCTTTAGTGTCTTCCAGGGGCTACGGGAGCCTCATTTCCCACTGGTGATGTGCCCCGAGTTACAGTCTCCATATGGAGCTGGTGTTTTATCGTACTCCTGCCTGCCCCCGTTAAATATCTATTTTTACCTTAGCAGTCCAATGTGGCCTCCTATGTTACACAAAACACCTACGGCGTAACAGAAGAGGGTCGCCCAAGGTGTGGTTGATATTACTTGTAAAAATTGGAGATGCATTTTTAGCTACTAGTTGTACCTTGTCGGCATATATCACATTTTTATACATGAGTTTAATAGTGCTCAACAACAAAATAACAACGAGGGATTGGACACAATAAAAAATCATATTATATGTACAATTTTAATAGAAGAGCATTTCAACCAAAACTGGAACAACTAAATATTGTATTGTTGATTTGATCCTGTTATTGTGTCCATCTATATGGACATGTATTATACAGAGTTGAGCAATTTTGTGTGACCAAAATTGATTATTATACCTATGAAAATATTAACTGTAAATGTGGCTAAGGGGAAGGGTTCATTCTGCGGCAGTGCTGACATCTAAATGTTCAGTTTGCAGACAGACATATTAACATATTAAACATAATTTACACTAAATTCATACATTTGGCACTTTGTTGGGCAGAATGTGAAGCTTTCATATGGTACTAAATTATTTAAAAAAGCCGTTTTATTTCATGTACACTGACATGGTTCCCACAAACTTGTGTGCTACACATTCATAGTGTCGAGAAAACGTGTGTCTGTGTGTGTGTGTGTGTAGGGAAGTTTTGACCGTTTGGTGCTGCTCTGAAATCCGCAGACTCGAGGTAATGTGACAGTGCAGCCCAAAGCACTCCATCCTTACCCTTGCACAAAGAGGGAATAGGGAAAGGGGGGAGGGGGGGAGGTACGTAAACAGAGCCATTAGAGACAAATCTATTTCTGAAGAAAACAAAATCACATCATCAAACAAGAGAAGAAGAAAAATATGATCCTTCAGCCCTTTGGGCCCCAGCGTTGCAATGATAGCCGACTATGGCATTTGTCTTTATCAGTCTGCCTTGAGGGAGGGAGAGTGTGGTGGGAAGGTGTGAGAGTAAAGAGTGAGAGAGAGAGAGAGAGACAATGGTAACAAAGAACACAGCGTCTTCTTTACTCTTCACCGGGAGCTCGACACATTTCTTACTTTTTTCGGACTTGACGTGGACAGCTTGTATGATTATTCCTCTTTCATACATGTTTTGTGCTTTTGCTGTTGGTACAACGTGGCTCTCAGATGGTCATTCTTTAAACGTAAGAGTGAGGGGCTCGGTGGACAGCGAGCCACTGCATCATCAGTCATGACTAGCCTGGGGAGGCATACACAGTTTCATCAAAATGACAAGATGGACTTTCCAGATTTTATTCTTTCTCTGTGACATTTGGTTGTTTATCCTGCTTTTCAGCAGTACCAGAGTGTCTGTAGTGCATTGGGTATTGGGTATTAAGTGAGTCTCAGAATAGATACACTGTATACATCTAATATAAAAGAATCAGGACTATAATAATTAGTTGAAACGTATAACGTGTAGAATACTTTATTATCAATTCTCTCTATATTATATTGGAGCCATTCTCTATTTCTGCCGTTTGACCGGGTAGTACTAATAAATATGTCTGAGAATCAGCCACGCTGCAGCTCTGTGGGGCTGTAAGCACAGCGGTGCTTTGGGCTAAATGTCATTATGCTAACATGCCAATGTTAGTCAGGTATAATATCAACTATTTTAACCCTTAGTTTGGCTTTTTTCGCTTGCTAATGTTTGCAAATGGTCACCAAACACTATGCACATGCTGATGGGAGTGTCATTAGTTTTGCAGTAATTTTCTCATAAACCAAAGTATTGGACTACTTCTCGTTTTGATGATGATGCTTGATGACAAGTTGAGGCATCACCAAAATGATTACAGTTTATCCTAAAGGGAGTTGTTAAGGCTGCTTTAATCAGGCATGAGGGGGCCCAACACCAATCACTGGAAGCTGCATGGGCACCGGTCACAAGTCCAAAATCAAAGAGAACAAAGTTATGTTGATGCAAAATGCAAGAGCTTACTACAGCTAGGACTACTATATCAATTAAGCAACATGTTATATTTTATCAAGAATCTTTTAGTAGTTTTGATTTTAATTAAATGTGTCTCTGTGTCCCTCGGTAATGTAAGTTCTTATAGTCTTATAGTTGATGAAAAATAGACGGTTTGCTCAAAATACCAACAATGAACAACCTCATGTTGGGGCTGGAAGAAAAGTCAGGGGATCAACAAAGTCATTACACTTCACATTTTGGGGACCGTGATAATGCCTGTAAGAAGTGTCAATCCATCCAATACTTGTTGAGATGCATCAGTCTGGACCCAAGCGGTGGACAGACAAGAACAGACAGATTGGCGTCACTTTCCAAAACAACAGCAGCATAAAGGCTGAACTGACTTTTGTATCATCGGTGGGTCCATATTCCTCCTCTCACTCCTTTCTATGGGCCTCTCATTAATTCTATTTCGTGGAACAATCGGGTACAATTGCTTCTCGGCGTCAGATGGACTGGGTTTCCATTTGAGAATTGATCACCTCCAAAAGGACGCCTCTGTTTGCCCTTAATCTCGACTCGCCTGTATTGTAGCCCGTCTGTAAAGCTCATGCCAAGTCCTTACAGATGCTTCATCATTTCCTCTTTCCAGTGCCAGTCATTTGTCAGTCTTTTTATTTTTTTATTTATTATTTCCTGCCCAGAGCGGGCACTCTCTGAAGGAGGCCTGTCTGTGCTACAGCCAGGCACACGGCTATTTAGTGGCTCTGCTGTTTTCTTTTCTTCTCCCTCTGTTCAGTGTGAATACCCAGGGGAAATTTGGCTGTGTCTCTGATATCTTCCTTTGTCCTGCTGACCAGTTTCTATTCCTCATCAGTTCGCAGTTTGCCAACATACTGTCACTCAGTTTCATGTCTAATTGACTCAAGTCATTTTAGCATTGCGCTGAAAGATGCACAATATTGTGCGGGTGAAAAAAAGAAACATTTCATAGAAAAGTTTGTACTATGCATATTTGCTTTCCTTCTTTTTTTTTTTTTTCTTATCTTGATGGTTTTCCAAATACATTACTGAATATTGACATTTTTTCTCTCTCGGTCGAATACTGTTAATGATACAGTCGACATTAACAAGTTAGAGAATATTAATTAAAGCAAACGCATCCAAACTTCAGTCATCTGAGCAATGCGTAACAGAAGGCAGAGGGTGGGATAGTTAGCGCCAACATCCTCTTAACGACGCTGCCAATGCTGTTTGAGTGAAACGACAACACAGTCTTGTGCGCCTGCTCAGCCATCTGCCATCTGGACTCAATTGAATGACTCAAGTGTCTTAATTGGATGCTAGCGTAGGAGCCCTTACTTCGTTCACATTAAGCAAAGGTTGTCGCTCATTTCTGTTATCTCTGACTGTCCGACTGATTTTTGAAAGTCAACCGTTGTGCGGAGATGAAGTGACGATGATGCCGGAGATGTGTTGCCACGTTGGCCTTCATGTCCTGCCGCCTGGATGATTCAGGATTTTTATCACAACTAATGCAAACGGCAAAATTGTCAAATGGGGAAATAATGGTGAGGGAGACAGCCTTGACAGTTGTGCTCTTTTTTCTTTTTTTTTTAGCTCCGTGTGAGTGAATAATGAGGCTCAACCTTCTCCCCCCCCCCTCTCTTCCACCCTTCTCTGCCCTTTGCTTCAGGTCAGAACATTGCGTTCCCCCCGGTGGCTCTGTGGGTAACTGTTGGCCTGGCCGTGTGTCTGCTGGTGCTGCTAGTTGCCCTGGCTGCTGTCTGCCGCAGGAAGATCAAGGAGAGCTGCGAGGAGGCCAGGAGAGAAGGTAATGGGGGGTGGGGTGGGTGGGGGGGACGCTGCACATTCAGCACCAGTGTCTCACAACGGGTACGACTCATTGATTTAATTCTCAAGGTTGGATAACGACATGAAATATGAATGTCAGAGCTGTGGCAACTTTGGAGCTACGTGCACAAAAAAGTCATGAACTGAGTGTGTTACACACTACTGTACACACAGTTCAAGGGCTGGACGAAACAGGATTCCAACCCATCGTGGTCTCAGGCCCTTTCAGCACTTCTCAGGGCCTTCATTAAAATGCTAAATTACTCCTTAAACTTCTCACACAGTCGTCCAGTGGATTATATGCATAATTGTGACATGTTGCCTCGATCATGTGGGAGGCACAACGAGAGCGGCAAAGATAGAGCAGAAAGCGGTGATGAGATGTTAGCTGCCCAAGGAACATCGAGATTCCAGAGGGAGTTCTGCTTAATGCGTATGGGCAGGATCTCGGTTGGCGGGACACATATCTTCGGCAAAGAGGAACATCATTACTCGGGACCAGTAATTAGAGTTTCGAAATAGCTGAGGATCGCCGCGAGTGCAAAGAGAAAAAGTTTGGGAATGAGATAGATAGTGCAGAGCCACCAGCTCTGCTGTAATGAGATCCGCTCAGAGTGGAGGAGACATTTAAATAAAGGTCAGCCAGTGTCTGCACCACGGCCCAGAGGTTTAAAAATAAATATGGAAGTGACACAGACTCAGAGGAAAGAGTAAATATCTCAATGGAACATATGAAATCAAATGAAATGGAAAGAGAGAAATATAATGTGCTTCTTCCCAGAGGCAAAGAGGCTCCTGAGGTTGTGGGGCCCTTTTTTCTTCGGTGAAAGAAGAGCTGCATTTTCCTGCCTCCAGTCTTAACACCAAGGGCAGGATTGATTATATGGTCATCCACCCTTCGCCTTATTGAAATGTTATGTCGCATTCCGTCCCCTGCCCGCCGACGCATCTGCAGTCTTTGCCGTTTTCCAAGCACAAAGCTGAAGAGTGTGAACGCTGACTTATTCACATATCATGCAGACAGTTATAGAAGGATACTGTATGAATACAGATGTGCAGGGGCTTAAATTAGGCCATGCACATATATAGAGCTGTGGAGAGGCTGGGAAGTGCAACCTAATTGTGGTTGTCTTATCTTTTAATGGCGTTCCGGGGTTTGGCCACGTTGAAGTTGACTCTCTCCACGCGTCTTGGTAGCGTGGGCAGAAGGGTCAGTAAAAGTGGAGAAGTGAGTAAGTCATTTTTCATACCTGTCATAATGTATGTGGAGCACCAGCATGTGTATCGTAAGAGAGAAGAGCAGCATGTGGACTCTATTCCTGGACCAGTGTTGTTTCTCAACACCAGCGTGGTTGTGTGTGCTTTCAGCTTCCTATCTGGGGCTCCCGTTCCATTTCTCCGAAGCATATTTTACATTTGGATAAGCATATGATTTCATCAGACTTGCACTTGGGTATCATCTGTTGGTGACATGGGATTGATCTCCCCAGTGTGACGGATGAGAGTCCGGAGGGATGTTTCCCCAGAGGAGTTTTGACCATAGTGGTGCACATTCACAGGAGTTCCCTCCACAGCACAAACACTGTCATTAAGTCTTATGTCCTAATATGCACAAAGGCTTTAAAAAAAAACAAAAAACGGTTTTGCTGTTACTAGGGTGCAGGAACCAATTAATTGGGAAGGCGTATCAGTGTATTTATACATAGTACAACTGGTGTACCGGCAAGCCATTTGCTTTGCTTACATTTAAAACACTCACGATGTCCCAGCAGTGTTTGCGGATATTCAGAGTAGTGCTGTGTCACTTCTGTGTAGAGGAGACATCGAGGCAGAAGCGTGGATGATGAGAAACAGTAACAGTCTTCTGGCTTCAATGAGTAGCTTTCTCTATACCCCGACTCTCTCGTCTTTCATGTGGTTTTGTCCAGCATGTGTGCTGGAGCCCATAACCGTCCTTCCTCCTGTTCGCACAAAACTGAGATGCAGCCAACATGGGGCACACACCACTCTCAATGTACAAGGGAAGCGGTTCTCACTCCCTGCCCTGTGGATGCCCTCGTCTTCAGCCTGACTTTAAATGAGCCTCTTTCTGTTTCTCTCTCTCTCTCTCTCTCTCTCTCTCTCTCTCTCTCCTATTGCAGCCCTGTCCCCCAATGTATTTCCACTCCTGCCACTGTGGTGGGACTGTATGTTGATTTGGCGGTGTTGAATGACGTAGCGACCGTAAACGGGCTCATGCATTTATGTGAATGTAACTCGACAGTTTTACATTTTTATCCAATATTGCTTTGGTCTGAGGTTGCTTTTGTGGATAACGTCTACAAATTTATTACAAATGGTGTTCCAGACTTTTCCTTTAACTTTACTCTGAGAAAAAATCTAAGTTGACCGCGGAGTTGGTCGCGAAAACGAAACGGCTGCTAGCTACAGTCAATTACACCAAGATGGAGAGAGCTTTTTGCATTGGAAGTAAAACAAACACCGGCACGACATACAGTGGAGAACTGTGCAGAGGAATTCCTCCACGTGTCAAACAGAAGGTGGGTGAGTGGCAAACGGACCACTTAAAGCACTGCCAAGCTAAGCTAGCTGCTATGCTAATTCTATCTCAACATCTAACGTTACCCTGCGGGGCACACAGTCTGCAGAGGACCACCACGGTGTCCCTAAAAGGCCGTGGTTTGAAAACGTTCTGGCTAAATGTGGGGAGATTGTTGGCACTTCAAACACAGCCGTTAAATGATGGAGAGCTGAAAGCAAAGTGCGCGAGGACAGCAGGAAGAGTCGCTAGTTCAACATGTTCCACCAGGTGGAATTCTGCCTCCAAGATGATCAAAAGTGTATGGTTTTGTGTATAAAATAGCATTAACAATTGAACAATACTGTCTAAAATACACACTTTCTGAAGTGATTACTCATTACTTGTAATAATTAGTCTTTAGAAGAACAAACATTCTTTAACAACAATATTCATTAATCGCCATTAATCAAGATTAATGAATGTCAAAATGTGCGATTAATTAGTTCATTTTTTTAATCTATTGACGCCCCCAGAAAATAAAGAAAATAACACAAAAGGTTCGGGTAAACTACTGTGTGGTTTGGATCTGGACAGTTGTTCTGCTGATGTTGGAATGTCAGGCAAACGTATAGGAATATAAACATAGATCGCGCTGCCTTGACATTTAATTTGGTTCAATTATCCGTGTAATCTCATATATCAGACACTAAATATTGGATAGCAAGCCCAACTGCTGTGAAAATCGTGTCAAAGAATTAATATCAGTCACATGGATACCCTGCCCCAGACCTATTTTTAGCCCATAATGTGTGTACGCACATGCACTCCGCACGCGTAAGTGTGACAGCCATCACCGGGTGGCCTCCCAAACTCTGTTGACAGTGGGTTTTCAGAGAGCCAGCAGCTAAAGCCTAATATGATTACTGTCTTCGCAAAAAGGCTAGGAGGTTAAGGTATGTCTGTGTGTGTGTGTGTGTGTGTCTGTTTGTGTGTGATGTGGCATTTTGGGAAGCTTCGTTGTCATATAGCTCTCTCACCACAGCTTGTCCTTCCAGCTGCATAGGATGAGCTCACCGTACCTTGGGATGAAGTGACTGCATTGCATGCCTGCCTTTGTTCTGGTTCTCCCACTGATAATTGCTCCTCTGTCTCCCCACAGCTGAAGAGGCCAAGGAACTGGAGGAAGAGGAGTCAAAGACAGGTCAGACAATCCACCCCTGGTCAAGCTCAGCCTCCGCCTGTATTTGCTTCGGCTCTCACTCCTCTTTGTGCTGCCAGATGCCGGTCGGAAAAATAGTTGAATCTGCACCTGTCCACCACGTCCTTTAGCTGAAACCAATATTGGAATACAAAAATATATTTTGTATTCGGCACTGCGTCCAGCGTAATGATGCAGCGCTGAAACACAGTCAGGAACAGGCAACACTGCATTTTATCCACTGAGGCGTGGATCAAGTGGAGAGGAACGGCAGACTGAGCCTGTAAACAAGGCAATTAATTGTTCACTTACAAAATCTCACTACATCTAGAATTATATTTCTTTTTTTCTATTCATTTAATTTCGTTTTTTTTTTTTTATTTTGGTAGGGATCCAACAGAACAAGTGACTGAATGTTAAGTTTGTTTACTGAAATGTGAGGGAACTCTAATTAAGAAAGTGTGCACGTGAGAAACGCAACTAGCTCCAGGCACTGGATCCGTCAACACAGCATCCCAATGGCATAACTCTTCCACTCTGTGTGTGTGTGTGTGTGTGTGTGTGTGTGTGTGTTCAAGTGTTAGAGAGAGGGAGACAGGCACACTAATTTAGTGCTGCAACAAGCTGTATTACATTATAGGTTCCCCCAAAGCTACAGCTAAAACCGTGAAATCTATCTAGTCTATAAATTTAATGGTAACAAGTTTCACAAGTTCCAAGTTTCCCAAAACGCCAGCAATAGTGCTGCCGTGTCCTGCACTCAAACGATCCTGTTTACCAAGCCCAATTGATCTTTCTGACTAAAGCCTGACTAAAATGCGTCATGCATGTTATTGTCACACGTTTCTTTCGAATTTTTATGATGAATCATCCAGTAGAATGGACAGACAACACAGACCGGTCTGGTCCCACTAAATGTTACACAGAGTTTGGCCAGTGCCTATTCTTTCGTAACTAACGAGATTGATTCACCCGTGAAAGGCGATGTCCCGAAGGAGCTATTTAGAATTTGTTTCCCTTCGGTAAAGAGACATTTCACCACATATTCGCACATTTGGGAAATAGCAATGAACAAAACAGAGAGTATGCAGCCATTCTCCTGGTTCTGTGAAGCTGAATTAAACCGTAGTTACGCATCCAACTAAATGTTAATGCCATGTTGCAGGCTGACGTTCTATCAATGAAAGGTATGATCAGAGGAAAGAGTAAATACGCAAGTTAGCATTTGGTAATTACCATTAAATACAGCCCAGTCCAGTAGAACCTCTTGCCAATAAGAAGACATCTGCTGATTGAAAGAACCCCAGATAAATATTCAAGCCCATAACCCTCCACCCAATGCAATGTTTCCCAGTTTTTTTAGATTCCTATAACTTTAAAAATACATTATAGTTTTTTCTCATTACTCATCTTTTTCTTTTCATAATGCTCCACTTTTTTCGGTGTTGAGAGTGATGTGATACTTTGCTTACTGTGACCCTATGAGCCCGGAATTAATTTCACTATTAGCAAGCAGGTCGAGCTTCTTCTGCCAGCGCAGCCTCGGTGACTGCCCCTCACAATCCTGAGCAGTTCTCCCTCAAGCGTTAATGTCATTAGAGTTATTCATTTGACTCCTTCTATAGTCTGATTGAATTATTTAGCCTTTCTGTGAACGGTAAAGTTAATACCATGCGATTTTAATAAGCTGAGAGGTGAAGGAAGGTTTCTGAGTGAAGGGGGACAATGACTTTCACTCTCTATTGCCTCTCTCATGAATGTTTCAGAGAGTTCTGTGCAGCCAGGAGCGGGGTCAGTCAACCCCACCCCCACCCCACCCACACACACACACACACTGGTGAGACTTATGCTGCATTTCCACTGCATGCCACAGCACAGATCTCCTCAACTGGACTCACTCGGAACCTCTTTTGGGGTTTTTTTTTGCGGTCAAAAGTAGTGTATAGTAGACTTGGTGCTTTTTTTTGGTATCACCAAAGTGGCGCGAAAATACTGCAAGCCACTGATTGTTCAGAGATGAACATTTTTGGCGTGAAATACGACGTACAAACTTTAAAATAGTCAAGGAACCGTCCATAGCAACGCTTTCTTATTCACTCGGCAGAGTTTTTTCAAAACTAATGCAAAATACAAAAATAAGGAAATAGAGAAAAGGACCTAGTACCAGTTGAGCAGAGTTAAGCGAAACCATGAAATGGAAACAAGGTAGAAGTCCTTCAGGTTTTTAGGAGAAGCGAGGCGGTGGCGGCACTCTAGTATTCCTTCCGCCTTCGCTCGCAGCTGCGTCTCGCCACCGTCCACGCACCTGGTTGATCCAGGTGGACGTTGTGGGCGGTGAGCTGGTGAAATCAAGCTAATGATTCTGCCTTTTTAAGATCCCTCTGTAAGCACTGCAGACAGGAAGCTTTGTTTTGCCATCTGGTTCCAATTCAATGACAAAGGCAGAGGTTCCGGCATGAGACAAAGGAGCCGAAATGAGCCCCACTTTAATAAACCCAGCATGATGGGAAGCCACATGTGTGTTATCTTAATGAGCTGTCCGAAGGAGAGTGTGCCTCCCCTTTCATAGCCAGCCTGATTTGAACATTAACTAGTGATAACTAGAGACCTGGGATCATTCATTTGCAATTACAAAGGATCCTTTTGTTGCCTCCTGTAGAATTGCATGAATTTACTACAACACACACACTTGTTATTAAAGAATTTCTGCATGTAAATTATGATGCTTAGAAAGTGTAAACAATACAGAGCAGCACGTGTTATGACAACTTGTATTCGTAACATAACATACGTATTCAAAATGGAGGCCCTACCAGGTACCAAGTTGTACAAAAAATTTGGAAACTAAGGAAGCTATCGCATTTGTTGGGTTTATTAACAACACTATCATGACTGTCCTGGCAGCAGCTAACGATAGCCTACCGTTTGTGCAGCTACAGTAGCTAGCTAGCCATCAAACTTCTATTGATATTTATTTAAGTTTCTTCCACCATGATTAATGTCTGGGAGGTTTTTTTTTTCCGCTGGGTACAGCCACCTTTCCAGGGCTGAAAAGGAAGACTATCCTGAATTGTCAATTTTCAATTTGTAGTCCTTCTACTAGCAAGCAGTGGCCAACTGTAAAAAGTAGTATAATCGAAAACGAATTGTTTGGTCTCAATCGATAGTTTCAAGTCTTCCAAGCAGTATGATGTTGTTTTTTAAAGTATAAAACACATTGTATTCTTTAGGACATGCCTAACTTGTAATTAACATGTGTGCTTTTTGCGTTCCCACTTATTTTGTGTATTCCTTTCAAAAAAAGCTCAATATTATACTTGCACTACTACTTAAGGCTAGATAATTTTTATTTAGCATTGGATGGTAGCAAAAAGCCAAGATGGCAATATTCAGTGTATGGGCCATATACACAAATCTACATCCACCGGTAGCGATGTGCAGTGTGTAGCCTACAGTTCTTCTGGCTTCATACCTCACCTATCCACCCTGAAATTGGTCCAATAATCTGAGCATGATGTTCTGTTTAGAGGGGGCTGCAGTCGCTTGTGCAGCTCCTCTTGTCAGAGGCTGGCTTTAGTTTGTGTGCTCTAGCCTCTGTCTCACTAAATCCTAGACTCCAAGGAGTCGGGCCTTAGCAACAAGGCCCTGGAAGAGAGGGTTAGTCAGTGACCCAGTTATTTCAGAGACAAAGAATTGTCTGAAAGGACAATTTGACACACCCTCTGAAAAGGGAGCTTCGTGGAAAAAAAAAACAGTTTTCATAACCATCCACAACTGGGCCAAAGTCCCATGAAGGTGGAAGGTTAGGGAATATCCGTATGAAGCCCGATAGAACGTGGAAGCCACACTCTTCCCCGTGTATGTTCTAGTTCCTTCATGCAAAAGCAACCACTGAAAAATCGATGACAATTCCTAAATCATTTTCAAAGCTTCAAGCCAAGTTGCTCATCGCCCCAAAGGGGTTTAGTGAGGCTAGCTTACTAAGGCTGTTGAAAGGTGACTCTTGAGCAGAGAGCCTGAAACTATGACCAGAGTCAAAGTCACCTCTGTGCTTATTATATCACCCTCTGTGTCCTATCTATTGAGTTATTCACATAGTAATGAAAATACAGTACCTTAATGTGTGTCTCTCTCAAAGGACTGAAATAATTAGCTTAGCCTAAATATGTCAGTAGAGTATGGCGGTTACGTATGGCCGACTGCGGTTCAACGGTCGCGTCATCCTTCCATCAGAGGATTGGCGGTTCGATCCTCGACTCCACGTCCTGTCCTCCACGTGTCCTTGGGGCAAGAAGCTTAACCTCACATATCTCCCGTAGCCTGCCGGCTGTGAATGAGTTTTAATGGTTCGTCAGTTCTGATTGGCAGGTGGCTCATGCACTGTGGCCCCTGCCATCAGATATGAATGAACGTGAATCGGTAAATGACAGCTAGTGAATACAATTTGATCATACTATGTCCATTTATCTGAAGAACACAATGAATTTTACGCCGTCTTTATTATTGTGTGTTTGCAAAAAAACTCCATAGGGCACCTTTATTTTGTTTTTCTCTTTATTGACATGCATTAACAGCTGTAAGGGGCTGAATGGCAGAATAGTGAGGGGATTATACATTCTAGCTAGAAGGCTTCCACCCACTGCATCAGGGGAAGTGAGACCAGGTGTGCCAGGAGACACACCTGGTCCTCATCTCCTCATCAATGAGTGGGTACAAAAGGGCAAGCAGGGACAACACCAGATGAGAAATGTGTTGGTGGAAAAGAGCAGGGTGCTGGCGCTCTTAGGGCGGAGAATTAAGTTCCGGTAAGTCGGATGGTGGCGCGGTCTGATTCGGAAAGTTTAATTTAGTCTAGAAAACAACTTGATGACTTGTTTTATTAAAAACTATTACTTACATAATATCTGCCTCTGACTGCTGCGCTGCCATTTATATCACAGTCCTCCGTGCAATCCCAGCTACCAAGTATTGGTTTGCTGGTGGTTGAATTATAAATGCACGCTGAAAAACACAGCGTTATTAAAAAGTTGCATAAAGTATTTGTATAACATAGCCCAGTTCGACAGACCTGCAGGTCACCAACACACCATTGAACATTATTTTAGTTTGAATCGAGGGGGGCTTGGAAAGCAGCCTCCAGGCAGCCCTGCCTGACATGCCCTCCCTTTTCACTGGCAGCACATATTCAGCCACTGGGCTCTCCCAGCGGTCACACATTACTGACTAAATATATGTAAATAGAACATTCATGTTGCCTTCATTATTAGATGTGGGTCACTGGATAACTTCAAGAGCACTAATTAAAAAAGCTCCCAGCACACCATTGCTTAGTAGTTGCGCGCGCACACACACACACACACACACACACACTACTCAAGCACTGCACTTATGTTCCTTGCTGGTTCAGCACCAAACCATAAGCTGCATGTTTACTATGTGGTGAAGAAATTGTGCTATAGGCTGTTACACTGGTTGGATTGGATACTGGTATTATATCCTATGGAAAGAATCATTTCTTAATTGCGTACAAAGTCGTATTTCCTGTGCTTTCTCTTTTTTACACTTTAAACGTGATTCCAAAAGAAGCTAGTCAGTTGCGGAGAAACTTTCCTCCCTCCTTTCGCCGTGGTTTGGGGAAGAAACTCATCAAAGATGTGGAGCACACTCAACTGCTTTGGCAACCTCTCAAAGGTTATCTGCTGGTCCGTGAGGAAAAGGCCAACCGATCATTGTCAGAAGAGATAGAAAGGAAAAAAAATAAAAATAACAGCTCCTAAATCATTTGAAATAATGAATGTTGTCACAGCTAATAAAAGTAGTTAAACCACTAAGTGGTGTGCATCACAACAACAAGCCAAAGCCACTGCCGGCTGGTTGCATATCAGACAAAAGTAACAATGCAAGGAGCGCTTTGGAGAACACTGGATACCTTTTAGGATGGAAGGCAATTCCAGGGATGAATCCCCATGTACAGATGCCATTTACATCCTCCTGCTGTCCAATCCCCCACGCCGCCCATTCCCCCTTCTGTCATGTAATCTACGCTCCTCTGACAGCACAGCCAAGGCCCGGTGGGAGAGTGCCTATCCATCTCACTGCCCCAATCTGCCTCCCCTGTTTGGTTCCACATGAGCACTCAGCTGCTGTGACTAATTAAATAAAGCGCTGTGCCCTCTGCTTCCTGTTAGCCATGGCAAGGTTGGTGCGCAGAGACTGAGGAAGAGGGGGAGAGTTGCTGAAGGAGGAGGGGACACAATAACCACTAACCATGCTTGTAATGGTGCTTTGGTCCACGAGTTGATAAAGTTACGTCGACGGCGGCTGCACGACGACGGCCTTCACAGTCGTGTTTCTCACAGATCTTTTAATGACACAATATTTTCAGCGCAAGTCTTGATTCTGGTTTGTTTTTCTGTTTCAGCCATGACGTTACTGAGTAGCTAAGGCAGAGAAAATAACGGTGAGTACGTTTGAATACACCTTTTAATTACACTTCTGTCCCTGTGTGACGCTCCATAGTCATTTCTCCTTATTCCAATTGAGCAGTAATGCTGTGGAGGGCACGGTGCCTCTGTAGGTTATGGGTAAGTGCTGCTGTAATGAGGCTCGGCTGCATTTATTTCTTTATTTATTTGAGAATATGTGAAGTCTTGACATTTTGATTTCAGGAATCACAGGGTCACTGACTGATACAACAAATACATTGAATGTCAGTTATTGGACTGTCCATCCTGAACAAGCAAACACGACGGAGGCTTGTATTTGTGTATTTCTTTCTGGATGACTGTATTGTAACTACCCTGCTTGAAATGTGTTGGTTTATTTTTGGTATTAGTGGATGACCCACATGAATAACCTATTAGACGTAGTGTTGATAACTGGGACCACGGACAAACCGATTAGTGAATTGGGTTAGAATGGAATCATCAAATAATACATGCTGTGTGGCCTGATGAGAGTCCATGCCTTTTCCTGACTTCTCTATAAAAAGCTGGACCATTTTGCCGCTGCTTTAGTAGCAGGCTGACTTGGACCAAGTGCAATAGCAGAAATACAGCGGTACGCAGGTAGGCATTTCTAAAAGTGATTAGAGCCCGCGTGTGATGGCAGTGTTCGACCTTCTGGCCATCGGGGAAAAGGAATGTGACACTCCCACTGGCCTTATGTTCACTCAACCATGGTCAGCCTGTGTCAGGCACTATATCCCTCCCTGGACCCAGCACACGGACCTCTGTAGGCCAGGAAAGCCCAAAAAATTGGAGCTATTTTTGGGGAAGCTCCTTTGCTGGAGACAAAAGTATTTTAGCCCTTTTTTGCTGTGACATGGTCGCTGATGTTTTTAGGCACTCCAACAATTTTGATTTGAAAGATTACACAGAAGTTTATGAGTAAGCAGAGCTTGAGTGATAACCGGCCGCTGTAGCTGGTCTGTCTTTTGTCAGACAATGAGCTACAATTTAATAAGTGTAGTGATTGGTAAATGAATCCTGCTATTTGGGACAATTTCAAATGTATTCTGCCGATAAGGGACCTCTGTTTAAGAGTCCCTGATGCTTCACTTTAACAGCCAGTGTGGACCTACACTGTATCTGTTCACTGTTCTTTTAAGTTTTACTTTTATAACCAGCAGTTTGGTGTCAGTTGTGTGAATAGTTTTTATTATGAGGTTGGACAGTTACTGCTGTTTTTTATTATACCCTGACTGGTCGTTGCCAAAAAGCCGCAGCATGCAGAATGTGTGGCAGATGATGGAAGGTGCAGAAAGTAATTTCCTGTAACTAGCCAAAATATAGTCTGGTCCGTAGGAGTCAAAGAGAGGACATTTGTCTTTGATGTAGCATCCACTGACCTTCACGAGACTGTTATTGCTGGGTAATATCCTGCAAGGCCCTCGACCTCGTTGCTGCTGAATCATCCTCGGATCAATTATTTGACTATTTGTGTGGCAGTTTTTCTATCGATTTAATGCATTTATGCAGAGTGCAGCATATCTCATTTAATAAAGCAAGGCTCCGCATTTAATTAAGTCGTTCGAGAGTGAGGCGGCACTTTGTTTTCATGAACATTTGCCTAATCGATACCTTGGTTCATTTGTGACTTATGTTCATCTTCTCAAACTTTTTTATTGTTTCATTACTGGCAGCTCAGCACAGATAACATAGTCAATGACTAACTGCAGCACACTCAATAGTTGTAGCCATCATTAGTGGCTCACACTCACTGCGTGCAATCATACACACTGCATACTGTTTATTATGGCCACATTGGGGTTCTGGGAACTTAGATATTGTTGAGTAGATGTAACTTTCCCCTGTTCTTTCTACAGATAACTGAACTGTGGAGGCAGGATTTACTTTTTTTACCCATTAACCTTATTGTATCAAGTGAGATGGTCTGTTGCACAAATGTACATCTCTTCTTATTGATCATGAAGAGTTAACTCCTTTTTGGCCAAGCCCACTGAGTGAGTCACTTGGTTATTTTCCAAAGTTCTATTTTAAAGATTTAGTTTGCATTTCCCAGTGGAAGAATAACCAATGATTGCTGTGTAACCACAGTGTCAAATTATGCTGTTTCCAAAAACAATTGCTGGATATCAGTGCTGTTCTTTGGGCATCGCTGACGCAACTGACTAAAAAGAGTCTTTGAAGTAACATGTCGGGAGAAACCTTTCAACTTTCTAGGTGAAATTCTGCATTGGGCTGCTAGACCTTTTTTTGATGATTTTCAATGTTCCTGCATGTTCCTTTTATGTCCAAATGGTCTGTAGAGAATAATACTGGGCAAAACCTTAGACTTGAAATAGATGGCTGCAAATGAGAAGAGTAAATATTCAAAGGCAGCTATGAAGGGAATAAAGAAATGAGCAGCAGCATGGACGATCCCCATTATGTACCTCACAACAACACAGCATTTCCAATGAGCGACTACTTACTTTTCTTTTTAAGGATAGATGCAGTAACTGATAAATAATATTTTCCCCTGCTCTTGGGAAACATTGATTTCATTTGTTCCTGTATAATGACTTAAACTTCAAAGACTATCTTGTTTTCTATTGTCATTTATTGTAATAGCTTAGTGTTTACTTTCTTACAATACGGTGGTAAAAAGGGGTTAAATGGAGTGACATTTGAGAAGAACACTGATCTAAATACAAAAGCCTGCTACAGCTAAGTGTGAAAATTGGGATGTGATCTCCCTGAAAACCCGTTTATTTTAGAGCTGGGGAGATCGGCTCCTCCAGGTCCTCTCTGCTGTATGTAGCAGGTGAGGCCCTGCAGACACAGATGATGTCAGACAGGACACTTATGTTGGCCTCTCTCCAGGGAGGTGTCTTGAAGTGGAGTTTGACTCACTATTCCAGTGTCTCTGATCCCTGCATTATTTATGCTTTTGTCTCAGACATTTATCAGCATTTTTATACCTTGCAGCCTCATTCTACAGTACATCTCCTGTGATGGAATAGGCTGCAGCGATGATAGCCTCTGAGGGAAGCCAATAACGGAATATAGTAGCTCATATTGATATTAGAAAACTGTGAAATGGTCAAGTGTACTTCATAGCCGTCTCTGCATACTGTTGAGAACCTTGGCAGACAGCCATTCACATCAAAAAAGTACACAGAAATAAAATATATACCGAGGAAAATGCTGTGCTGGCTCCTCTTTCTTACCTCCATATTCATGTTTGAAGACGTGGAACTGGTAATATGTGAGCAGTGGTAGGAGTTGCGCAGCCACTGAATCGCTGATCAATGACAGCTAATGAACACGGCAGGAGTTCTGCTCTGTTTCTCTCGACAGACGCTTTCTCTAGAGACTTTTTTTTTTTCTGGTGTTTTTGCCAGAAAAGCACAGGAGCCCTTTGTTGAAGCCAACTGCCTTTGGGCTCAATTAACTACCATAGATTGATCATGATGCAGATGAGAGACTGTGTACAAGATCAGAGGTATGGCACACAAGTGGTGCATGCACGGATACAGACAATTGGGACACTGTTGTGCTGAGACACGCCATTAACGTATACAACCCAGAAAGGGCTGTAACTAGCAAAATAATGTCCCCTATCCACTTTAATGGAAGTGATTATCCCAATAATAAAACCAGTTTGCTGCAAGCACAAAAAATATCTTCTTTGCAGTAGTTTTAAGGCCATCAGACGGAGCAATGAAATCTAAAGGCTGTAAAGAAGCTATAGTCTCCACGACAACTAGTAATTCAGTTTAATGTTACAAACATAGGCGCAAGCAACAATAAGTGTTTCTGCAATGTTGTCGTAGGAAACCGAGTGCTCCCTGGTGAGGACATGGTTTTCTTTTTGTGCGGTCACCAGTCCGTGGCCCTTGTCATAACATATTAGCATCACTTAACATCCCTCGCTCTGGCTGATTGCTGCAAGTTTTCCCATCTACCAAAAAGCTTGTTCTGAACAGTCGTCGAATTGATGGACCTTTTTCGGCAACGTGATGATGTCTGGATCACAGCAACCAGCAATGCCTAGTAGAGCGGTTTTTAAATGACACCCAGCCTATTGCTTAAAAAGGACAGGAAGAGTCTGTTCAGCAATGGAGAATTTACAAATGGCACAAATATAAATACTAACAGTGCCCGTCCCCTCCCCACTGTGATAAGGACATGCATGCATCATGTTGCTTCTGGAAGGGTGAGATGGCTTTCATGTGTAGCTTTTTGAAGTGTGCTCAGATTATCGTGAAACTGAAGAAGTTGCACATGCTCTGTACACATTGAACTGCTTCGGTGGTGGTGTTCTGATTTTTCACTGCAGACCTATAGCAACTAATGAGAAGGAGACCCGATCATACATGCCGAGCAAGCCATTTGAAATCCAGGTCTGCTTTTGAAATGCACATGCATGCACATTCTCATCTCGGTACATACATGGTACCGAGGTGAGAATGTTGTCAAGTGTTGTCTTTCAATTAAACCGTCAGAAGTGAGTTTTATTTCTCCACGTGCCTCTAACTAGTGGTGCATTAGTGAATATTCAACCTGCTAGGGATTTAGAAATTATAATTCGAACCTGATTTGCTCTCTTCGTACATCATTTAAATGGAATGTGTATTCAGAGCACTGTTTATAACATCAAGCTTTACTTTTGGCTCGTTTGGCTTTGGCTGCTGTATCAGGTTTGAGCAATTACCTGATTGTCATTTCCATTTCTACATTTTAGATCCGGCAACAACAAGGGTGTAGAGACGCAGTAGGGAATCAACAATTGTGCATCAATGGCTTAATCGTATGAAATGAGTCCCAAACAATTTTACACATCATGAAACATTTGCAACGTTATTAAAACATTGTTTGAAAAAACAAATAGATGCCTTTGCATAATTCAACAAAAAATTGCCATATTGTGATTGTGGTGTCAAGAGCTGCATTCACCCCCCTGTGTACCCATGATGGGCTAAAATGTGCAATGAAATGGGGCTGAAAGTGGACTCATTGGCATGTCACAGTCCTTTAGCTGGCAGCAGGTCTTCTCGGTTCCTCATCGGGTGACAGTCACCTTCACGCTGCATCAGGGAACGGCACAGGTGGAAGACTGACGTTTGTGTCAAACCTGTACGTCTCAAGATTAACACCCTGGGGAAATGTTAGCAGTTTAGGGTAAATGAGGGACTTTCCTCTTGACAAGGTTGGCATCCCGTTGTGTGAGGACAGAATAAACAGACTTATTTTACACTCCTTTTTTACCTTCTTCCTTTCTAACTGAATCACCTCGCCTTTGGGGCTTACCACAGGAGTCTCTTCAAATGATCCTTAAGACTGAAGTGAAGAATCAAGATTAATGCACTTCCACGTCCCACCCGGGCTCTAGGGGAAAAACTCTTCTAATTAACACCAGGGTGCTGCGGGCTGCTTGTGGAGAGGTCGAGGGCGGGGTTCCTCGTCCATAGAAAAAGAGCTGATAAAGGTGTGAGTTTGGGAGGGTGCTGTTGCTTTGGAGAAAAAAAAAGTAATGCGGCAACAGAATGAAGTGTCAGACAACTCACTCCAGCTTATTGTTATTGGAAAAAAGTAGAGTGGCCCGTAGCAAGAGCTGCAGCACATCTGCATTATTCATAGCGATCATTGTTATAGGTATTAACCTATGAGAATTAACATACCGTATAGGCAAATCATTCTTATTCCCACTTGTCTCTTATGTGCGGTTCAACGTCCTCCTTTTCTCTCTATGGGCTGACTCGACTCTATTCGATTTGGTACCGGGTGCTTTTCTCTATTTGGTTTTCGACTGTATACCCAGTCATCAGTCTGCACAAGATTCTCAGTTGGTCCCAGTTGGGACGTTGTGGGAAACGTCATCAGCTCCACACTACTATCTGCAACCTTTTTATAATGAAAACAAATAAAAAGGTCTCACCTGAGTGAGATTTGGTGTGAATTTTAAACCTTTTATCTCCTATTGGAGGAGGTCCGGTGTGACGCGGCCATTGTGCCCAAAAAATGAACTTACAAATACATTTTATGCCACTTTGCTGTGGAATGATCTAAACAAGTAATCTGCTGACCTTCATCTACCACTGTTTGGTATTATCAATCAACATTTAATGTATTCATTAAATTCCTTACTGACCAATGATTAATGTTTTTCTTTATCTTTTTTTTCTATTTATATGAATTATTGAGCATATCTATATATAAAAATGAACAGCCTTGTTAATAACCATTTGGCAGTAACTACCAAGTCCAATAGATGGCGCTCTGAGGCCCAACTGTTGAGAAACTCAAATAAAGCAATTGTTCTAATGTAAATCCATAAAGCAGATGAGAAGCATCATTTTCCTTTCCACGGTGTGTTTGATCATCTGGGAATGATCTTTAAGGAGCAGCAAGTTTAGCTTCTTTCTCATTATCGGGAATACTTCTCCAAGGTTATTTCCAAACATTTACTTTACTAGTCCCGTCCCTGCTGTTTGTCTCTAAAAGTTGATTGTTGTTGTTTCCACCTGCTGTTTTTACGTATTCCACATGCATATCAATATAGAAACAGGGCAAAGTTGCCGACAGGGACAAGGAAATATGAGACGTAAATCTGGATGTAAATGAGGACAGAAATGGGAACAATGTGGATTTACAACGGTTCATTAGATTGAATCCACTGTGCCGCTGTATCTCCTATAGCCCGAGCAAATTAGTGTTCAATCTCGCGTTGGAGCTGTAAATGAATCCGTCCTTTCAGCCGGTTTCTCTGTTAAATGCTAAAGTTGGAGTCCGCTTTCTGATTGTTGTTAACGGCCCCAGACAATTTTCCTTTCTTTTTTCTTGTCGTTGTGGTTTCGTAAGATTGTAAGTGACAATGCTGTAGATGTTAATTCAGTTTCTCCGTAAAGGTCTTCCATTTCACCCCTGACCTTGTGATTCAACAGCTAGTGAGACTCCTTTTTAAAATGCAGATCTTTAGATCTCTACGGGGACATGTAAGGCTTTTTGAATCTGATGAGAAACTGCAGGTGTGAAAAGTGTGTTGTGCTCATTCGGGTGATGGATAATTTGGCAAGTTGGATTACCATCCGACGGGGAGAAAATGGAAGCCAGAGTGCACTTTTAAGTGTAGTGCTGCTCACTGAAACAGATAGTCGTCTGCAAGTGTTGCAATATGCATAGACTCAAATCATTTAGAATGACAGACTTAATAACCGTTTCAGTCTTTGCTTTGACATCTTGAAGCTGTTGGCAATTCCCCTTAGGCTTGTATGTAGGATTTAACCACATCACACCAGCCTGTCATGTGTAAAACGAAATAAAGGGAGGATAATGATTGGGAAGCAGGAGAAGCCCCACTAACAGAACTATTTTTGTATCTCTGAGATGAAATATTAGGACAGACACGGCGAGTGCTTCGATACGTTGTGCAAAGAGACAGAGCTACTCGAGTTTACAGTATCTAAGCAAAGACTGTATTCATGCAAGGTTTAGCCGAGCGAAGCTACGGTCTTAATGCGACACGGAGAATGAGCGGGGTATTTATGTAGGATATCCTTCCAGAAAGCACAAATTAAACCATCCCAAAGTTTAGAAGTCCAGTTGCATGCAGTCACAGCCGACCGACTGGAATGATGTATCTAAAAGCCGAACCTCCCAGCATACAGCCAACTATATTGCGTTTAAAAGCCTCAAGTAGGAGAGCTTCATGTGTGACATAATTAAATTCCAAGTTAATTCAAAGTGTTTAACGATGCAGGGAGAACAATTTATTTCGCTGTGCCAGCGGTGGGTCGGTCCGCAGGGGCTACGAGTGAGGAGAGGCATTAGAAGTTCAGAAAGACACTTTCGGTACTGAGGGGAGGATGTGTAGATGGAGACAGACTTGAAGGTTGTAGCATCCTTGGAAACGCAGCGTTCCCTAGAGAGAGGTGTGATTGTTTATTCAATAATGCCAAATACGCTTTGTTGTTTTCCTTCGTCATTTTTACTCTTAATCATAAAGACCATTATAGGAAAAAAATAAGTGGAAATCCATGTCTGACCAAATTCGAGTGATGGGATTGCTGCATGTGTTGGGTTTGCTGCTGGTTATTGTAACTACCCTGCAGTGTTTCATTATTTTTCAAAAGCTAATAACCTCTCCAGCCGTGAACATCCTGACATTATACGTGTTGTGTGTCTGTCTTTTTTTTTTTTCCCCAGGACTCGGTGCTAGACGGTGCGGAGGAGATGAGTCTGGCAGGTAATCCCACTCCATCTATCCATCAACCCGGAGACTATTTCCAGCGTCCCCTACAGAATGTCAAAGCCTCACGGAGCAGCAGATGAGTCCATCATCCTCTTTCTAAGACCTTCCCTCAAGTTTCCATCAAAAACATACAAACACATCACCTGCCGTTATTTTCCATTGCCCTCGCTACCCTTTTGCGTCGGTGGAGGGTCACGGCAAGCGAGTGAGCACAGTTGAGGGGGGGGCGCGCTCCATACGGCACGCTAGAGGAGAAGCTCCGTTTCAAAAACCCACAGGATAACCCCCCCTCCCCCAACCCCAACCCCCTCTCCACCCTCTCCTCGATGACATCAATGGGCTGCGATGGGGCATGCGCCAGAGATCCCTTGTCTAATAGGAAGTGAGACAACTAAAGAGATGACCCTGCATCAGTTGCCATTGCTGCCTCTCTGCCATAGAGAGAGAGAGAGCGAGCGAGCTGGGCACTCCCATTACTTCTGCACTTGCTAATTAGCGTCTGCCGCCGGAGTAACTTGTACCTGTCAGTGTGTGCCGCTCTCCTATATTCAGTAACTTGAGGGAATTGAAATTGAATGCCAGTTAGGCTCCAACAAACTGCAAATGGTGCATGGGATACACCCTGATTCTCTCCCTGACCTGACAGCCTTATGTGTTTAGAATTTTTTTTTTTTTTAATGAACACAGTATCTCTGCAAGTTTTTACTGCCAGTGTGTAATGTTTCATCTATTCCAAACAAGAGGACACACTGATTGTTTTTTTGCTTTTTTATTTTTTAGCTACTCAAGCAAGTCCCTGTGCCATATGTATGAATGCCAAAGCCATTTCTGTTCCAGATAACTCAGTGCCTATTTACATTAAAAGAGACATGGAGAAACTTACCTGGTCATTGGTAATTATTGGTCACATTGCCGGGGCCACTTTGTGTTTCTTCAGGTAGAACAAGGTCGATTTTATTAGACATTTCTTCACCCAAAGGATTAGCCATGCTTCTCAAATTCATCCATCCACTTTTCCATTAGTTGATTTATCTGAGGTCTAGACTATTCTACATAATGAGTAAAACATGAATTACGGTCAAAGCAATACAAATATTTCATTTACATACAGATCAACACTGACATGTTGAATTGTTCCCAGTTAGACACAGTCCTATTTTAGGGCTAATCCCTCTGTTTGCAGATGCTCAGTCATCCCAAACGTTTGACTTGTTTTGAATAATGGATTTTTTTTCCCCCCGTGATTGTTTGTTTGTTGCTGTCATATGTGAAATAGCTACCTTGCATAAATTCTGACTTGTATAAGTAGTGCAGAAATACCTGTCCAACGCACACATGCACAGGAGCATGCGCACATAGTGTGTCCTCCTTGCTAAGCTGGATGAGACTGTTGATCAAACCCCCGGCTTTGCCCAAATGCGTAGATCTCTCTGTACAGTAGCCCTTGACCTTGCTGTGTGTCCTCGTGGCCCAGACACCCGCCTGAAATTAAATTACAGATTAGTGGCTTCAGGCCCAAAGAGGGGTTTATTTGGTTGGCCCCTCTGAGAAATGCTCAAAGAATAAAATGCCTTGAAGACATTTTTTTTTCCTGACTGCAAGCACTGGAGGCATTGGCCCCCCCGAAAAAAAATGAAATCTCTGCAAAGACTTCTAAATCTTACATTGTAGTTAAGAAGGGACGTGGGCCAAGAGGAAATGGTTTCTTGGAAGCAAAAGGAAAAGTAAATTATGAAAAGAAAACCAAACTTCAAAAGAAAGAAACTCTAATGAAATGAACACGTTGGGAATTAAAGAATCATTCTGGTGAGACAAGAAGCAAAGGCCAAGCCCTCATTAATACAGAAGTCTGTCAAGCCTTTCACAATCCTTAATTCCAAATTACATTAATTTAAAACAACATTCAGATACAAGTGACCATCAATTGGTAGACAGTACGCATTGCTAAATACAACTTCTAACTTAAGGAATCTGAACCTATCTATTCTTTAATAGAAAGGGTTGCCTTTGGAAAACACCCACTTGATCTGGCAAAATGAGTTAACAGACTTTATAGTAGCTTTGGCGGAACTTTCTACAGTATTTTTTACAGTAACAATTGTGCAAGACTGATCACATTCTGTATCTGAATGGACGGACTGATACCTATCGAAATGCACATGAAGCCGACTATTGTTTGAAGACGGCCTCCATTCTTCTACATTAGAAACTCAATTTCCAAGGAAACACAGAAGCGCTGTTTCGCCAAATGTACATCAGCACAACAGGTGATGTAAATTTATTCTGACAAATCCGGTTGAAATTTGTTCCCATAATACCCATCGGCATGGTTCACAAGCTTACTATCTGTTAACTTCACCTGCCAAAAACAGCCTTCATGCGAAACCGTACGCACGTAATGCCCTTTCTCACAGACCCACGGCACAAGAGGACACATATTTAAGACGCCAACGTCACATCTAGATGTAACTTAATAAAAGCTTTAGAATTTCCCTACAGCCGAGGTTCGGGCTGCGTCACGCACATAGGGGAACGTTCCACAGATTAAATTGGCATAAGACATTGCCAACTGATATTTAGATGGTGGTGTGAGGTCATACAAGTGAGTCAAGAAACCCAAACAGAGGCCAACCGTGGGCATATTTCCTAGGCAGCACAGATTTGGGGATTGGCAACGTGTACCAAGGCGCTGAGTCAACGCCAAGATGGAGTATATTATTGGGGAACGCATCAGTCGGCCATTAGCAGCCAATTAACACTGACTGAACAAACACTAGCTATCAAAGTCACTCAAAATTAGGAAAAAATGTGCTTTCAATGCAGACCGGATCAAACGGTCTCTTGGAGCGCGACGCCAATGCAGCTACTTCTCAGAAATCTCTTCACACTCCGCAGGGCTCACACACTCTGGCTCAGACTGTGGTCCTATCACGCAGTGGATTGATATAAGCACTTCTGCTACTCTGCATTTGACTTGAACATCAGGTCCCAATAAAGAAGTCACATAAATGGGGCCAGATGTGCTGCTAAATTTTAGTACACAGTAAATGCTTAGTGTGCTCTTTGGTAAATACTTTTCCTTTTGTTGCCTCCAACCCCATTTGTTTAGCAAATACTTAAAGCCAAGCACGTGTGTGTATATCTTATCACTGCTGCACAAATCTTTTATTTCCCTTCAAAGAAGAGCGACCTCAGTCAAATGGAGAGAAAGCAGCTGTCAGCTCGTGGCTCGTGCTCTGTTTGGCACACCTGAGGTCAGTGGCTCTCCAGTCCAAGTGCTCCGCGCCCGGAGCTCTCTGCGTTTCAATTCTAGCAGTCTAATCAGGGACTTTTTCACACCAGGAACAGCAGGTGAATGCGATGCACACTGTAGTGAAGAAGAAATGAGGACGAGGATTGAAGACATCTGTGTAATGTGTTTTATTCATGGGGTTATCAGGATGTATGTAAATAGCTTGGGCTACGGCCAGTAATCAGTTAACTGTGGATGTAAGCACGGCGTGGAAGCAAATTCTGCTCACCGTGAGCATCCTTGCATCACTTTTACGATCTGCCGGGTTTGTTCACCGCTTGTGCAGAAAACACTGCCAGCATTTGATGCTGTTTTATTTCTCCTGAGGAGGCTCAATAATGTATTTAGTATGCAGAGGCGGGAGCGAACATAAAACAGGCAAATCAACTGAGATAGTGATCCACCATAATGCGGTTTTGAAAGCTGATGCTGTGACCAATATTAATGTTCTGAAAATATTCATGTTACATTTACAAATTCTGCTTACAATTCTAATTTTATTATGTATTATTAACAATCAGCCATTGACATAACTGTGAGAGTGTTGCTACATGCTGGAATTAGTATAGAATTGCTAAAACAATGACATGATTTAATAGTAGATGGAAAAAATCTCCCATGTCAACTATCCTCCCTCTCCACCGGGTTTAACTTTAAATTATGCTGAACTGAGGTTAAATGAGTGGAAATCAAAGTAGCTTCCATCGGTCTGATCAATAGTTAAATTCCAGCAGTACCTAACAACAATGACAATGGACAAACCCGCGCTGGCAGTTTCCTTCTGCTCTTAGCATTACAACTAACATGTCATTTAAGTGTCAGCATGAAAGGGCATAGCATTATTTCAAATAGGTATCCGTACTAAATAGGTATCTGTCCAGCTCTTAATAAGGTAACCAAATAAGACAACTGAGAAGTAATGTGTGACAGAAATATCCCATGAATGATCCTTGTAGTCTAATGTGGGCCTTGGGGAGTTAAAGTAGTACCAGTGTAAACCCAGAACAAATTCAGATGAATACACCTCCGTATTAAATTAATAGATAACACATTTGAGTTAAAGATACTGACCTTTTATTTTACGTCCTGTGTGTAGCTGTGTAGCTTCAAGGACAAAGGAGCTGCTTTCGAGGTTACATCAAAATTCCTTGAGTGAATCACATTGTGAAAGTAACAAAAGAAAGGAATTCAGGTGCTTTTAAGTTTTTTTTTTCCCCCTAACACTCTGATCCTCCACCTTGAATGGCAAACAGCCTCACTGGGCATGAGATGTTGACATAAGGATTTGAGAGAGTGAGAAAATGAAAGTTGCTGTTGGGAGTGCAGACGAGGCAAGCTGCAATGAAAGAAAGAGACAATGGAGGTGCTGGTTATTAAAGCAAGACACCAACAATTTCAAGAATACCAGCTGTGAATACATAAGCAGGGATTTTGTATAGTTTTCTGGTTGCGCTGTCACGTCAGTCCCTCTGAAAGAAATACGCAAAGACTACTGTTTATATATATATATATATATATATATATATATATATATATATATAGAATCAGCAAGATAATCCGATCATAGATCAGTACAGCATTAATAATGCGGTGGCCATTTTACTGTCATGGAAAAAGCTTAAAAGACAAGCTCTTACTTTAGCAGATATAGGATAGATATATTTTTTAAGAGCTCTGAGTAATTCTCTGTAGTGACAGAAAGGACAGGATGTTGAATCACAGCTCAGACTTGCTCCCCTGCTACTTTGCATCAAAAGACGAGGCGGTGTGGGCATCTAATCGAGATGCCACTGGGAAAGTTCCCTGTGGAGATGTTCAGGGCACGTCCAACTGGGAGGAGACCCCTGGGAAGATGAAGAACACAATGTCCGGGACAGGTCTTAGGACCCCCCTCCCCCCACACACACACAATCACACACCTGGAACGGATATGTCTGGGCTAACAAAATCTAGTAGTGGTGGAAAATGGATGTGTGGTAATTCAATCTTTTGGCTGTGCTGTAATGTCAGTAGCTGAGAATGGGTGCGTTCCCTTCTTGGGTCAGTACGTACAAGGGTTCTTCATCCACCCCTCTTTCCTCTTTACTCGCGAAAGGGTTTTAAATGTTATAAAAGTCCTGAGATTAGATTTAAAAGTACCTAGGATGTAGTCAATATGAATAAGTCTGCCATACTGATAGAAAAGTCACTGTTAAGTGTCACTTAATTTTAAATTGACATTCAACAGTGAATAAGTGTTAATGGTTATGATTAAAATTGCACTTATGCTCCTATTTGCAGTCTTGCCTTTTTTTTTTGTCTGACTCTGTTGAAGTCCATCCATGTCTGAGGAGCTGAGGCTAAAGTCCACATGGCGATAACAGTGATAAGCACTTCACCAGTTCAGTGTATATTGTGATTGTTGAATTGTTTCTGTAATTATTAGTAATCAGTCACAACGGCAATAGAATTCACCTGCATTTTGAAGTGCTGGTGGAAAATCTCCCCCCTCATCAGCATTTGCTGTTCGTTTGTATACTACACTGCGAATTCAAATGCACATGCACTCATGTACGCGTTCTGCACCGGCTGCCTGCCTACACATTGAACA